AAAATGCAAGAGGATATCGTCCGCATACTCAAGATCAAATAGTTTTTCACCAGGCAGCACTTCAACGCCTACTTTGCGTAGCTCCGCAAAGGAACTGTCCATGGTGGAGTCCAGGACAGCGTTCCAGAACTTAATGGGTTTTCGCCTGGCAAGCTTTCTCCCTACAAAAACCCACAAGTATCTGATTAACAACACTGCGACGTGGCAGATGTGACTTGCCACTCAATAAACTCACTGTCCCCTGCGACGCATTGGCAAGTTGACCGACAACTCATTTCACAAGTTCTGTGCATATATCCGCTCTCATACAACTACAGGTACATGTTTGATCAGTAACATGTAAATCCTTTTCACAGGTTTTTCCTCGTGCTTCACTCACCTGACTTGCATTGTGTACACAACCTCATCGGACCAGTTCCTCACCAACAAATACTCCACTCCAATGAGCTCCGTAATTCTTATCTTTACATCTCGTACTCTGTGAAGCATTTCACCCATTCAATTCTGATTATCTTAAATAACGCAATAAGAAGACGAATGTTGCAAGCTGGTACCATTTCCTGCCCTCTGTTCACTTACAAACGGACAACATGTCAAACGATAACGTGACAAAAAAATGTAATCAATGAGTTGAAAGCGTGCGATCACATACAAGCGGAATAAAAGTTGCTACAGCTTGAGGAGGAATTATTAACTCTAATGGAATTTGAGCGTAACGAACAGTTGCTTCTGGGCACACAATGTTGGAGTACGCCAATTTTTTTGTGGCCAGTACTTCGACAAACTTGTGGACTCTGGCGTTTGTGTTACGATAAATGACACTAAACGTCGAATTGGGATCCATCTGATGACCCGTTCCCATCAGGTGTTTCGCAATCGAAGAGGCAGGTATGTTTTTCGTCGACACAGGTCCCATCCTGCAACATTCGTCTTCTTATTGTGCTATTCAAGTTAATGCAGGAAACTCAATGCTATAAAATTCTGATTATGCCTGCCGAGGCTTGCCCTGATACGCTCCAGGACAAACTTCATTCCTGCTTTGGACCATATGGGCCCACATAACTGACTACATCTGTTTTGCTCCTGCGCTTAGACATGCTCATTATGCTATTATGTACAATAATGCATTTTTCTGATCATGCTCAAAGGCGTGCCTGGTTTTGTCGAGAATAAAAGTTATTTATTTATTTAGTTATGAATCGAACAAAAACTGGGAACTTGGACAACCCTGACTAATGCCACTTGTTGTCGGAACGATATCAGACAGGTCACCGCAGACCCTGAAGTGGCGTGTAGTGTTTGAATACAGAACAGGTAAAAACTTCACATATTTCATGGGAACAACTTTCCGCAGAGGTATCTCGAATAGAATGGATCGATCCACTGAGTCGAATGCACCGTTTACTTCGAGGAACACAGCTATTGTCGGCCTGCAGTACGCGTAGTGCTGCTTCTAGGACCTGGCGCTGATTGCATATATGGTCTATACATTCACGTCCTGGGCAGAAGCGTACCTGCTGTTCGCTAATCCGGCATTCTCATTCCGCAGTGAAGCGACGCACAAGAATTGAGGTCAGAAATTTTGTCACTACCGGCGTTAGGCTCATACTTCTGTGGTTAGAACAGTCGGTGGGCCTGTCCTTTTTTACATCGGCACTATAATTGATCCACTCCAGTTATCTGACATGGTCTCTACCTTCCAGACCTGTTCGAATAAGTAGGTCAGCGCTTTGTATAGGACCTCACCAACATCCTTAAATAGTGCAGATGCGAGGGAATCCGGACTCAGCAGCAGGAAAATGATTAATGACTGCGATCGCGTTTCGAACCTCAGTCACTAACGCAGTCTCTAAACTAACTGTTCATGGCTCGCCCTGCAACACCTGAGTATAAAGACGCCAAGAAGTAGGGAGCCGACTGAACTGCTGTCGAAACTGCACCGCTCAACGAGCCGTCCGGCGCTCTTTATTTTGAAGCGGTGCACCCGCGCTGTCTCTGATTATTTCACGTACGTCTGGTTTCCTGAGACCGGTGGTGCGCATCAGCTGGAAGTGCTTGCGATAATTGCGTACTGCTCCAACTTCCGCTATTTCTCACATCTTACTGGTCCACCAGGCTTCCTTGTCCGCGTGCAGGCTCCGCTTTATTTCGCCCCTAAGAGTCCGCATGGTAACAGTGTGCCCAGAGCAAACCGAGAGTTTCCTTCTAGATTCCAACAGGTTCACCGACCTACGGCTATCCAATGTCTGATGCAGTGACGATTGGTAGTACTGCAAGCAGAGGCGCTTGCATGTTGCATGGTGGGGTAGATCCTGTTACATTGAAGCTCAGTGTCATTAGGACAAGAGAGCGTAAGCTCGACACGCAGTGCATCATGGGAGGCTTCCCTGTCCGAGGGCTGAGACAACTTCTCAATGCCCATCGAGGGAGGCGCTTGGTACGTCTTCCGTTAAAGGTCATAAAAAGACGACAGCGTACCAAGGTATGATCAGAGTCGACGCAAGTATTCCAGTAAGAGGGACAATCCAGGATGGATCCACGCCACCCGTAACTTATGGCAATGTGATCTGTTTGGGTCCATCGCTGGCTATCTACAGAAGGACCCCAAGTGGCATTTCGACGCCCACTGTGTCTAAAAGCGGCACTATTAAGATACAGATGGTGCACCGCACACAGCTGTAACAGACACTGGCCGTTGTCTGTCCGATCGGAGTTAAGCCCATAATTACTACCAAGCTGAGCTTCAGAAGAGCTCAGACGACCTACTTGCGCATTCACATCCTCTGCGATAACTATGATGTATGGATTGGTATCACGGCTTAGTGGCGTGTTCAATTCGTAGTAGAATATCCCTAGCAACATCAGAGCTGCAATCGGTGGGAGCATAAGCGGAAAACAAACAGTCGGCGTCTAGTGCTACTCCGTAAATCAACGTTAGTTGCTACACTGGATGTACACAAACGACTGTTCATGGAAATCCAATCAACTAACTATGACTCAGCATTGAAACTGCGAAGTGACCACACCGGTTTGACCAGTGGTTACCGCATCAGCATTTCCGGATGCGTGCAACCAAGAGCAAGAGGAAAAACCTGGTGCAGTTACTTCAACAACCCTCTGCTCCTAGTTTCGGATACGCTACACACCTCAATATTCAGCGTGTCTAATGTGCGTATGAGTGCAGCCTGTTGATTTATTTGTCTTAGAGTGCGAACGTTGAACGCCGCCAAGGAAACGGAACAGCATGGCCTTATAAGGAGCTGTTGGCGATAGGTGTCCTGTGGGTGGTGTAAGAACAGCTGCAGATGGTATGGCACTAGTGACATTGCGGCTGCTGTCATTTACACAGGGAATTATGGGAGGAAGGCTAGTAATGCGGATTGGAAGGGAAGCAAGAGAAACAGTTGGAAAGCAAAGAAAGGAAGCTCCAACAGTAGCATGTTTCCGCTTATCTAACCCGCTGTATGCAGCAGATAAGGCGACCCTTGCTAGGCTGCTAGACGGCCGATGCAGAATTTGGTAGATGTTTGAAGAAGTTGTCGATGGTTGTACGTGGGCTGAGATGCTGAGAGGGTGCCTAGTCTTAGCAAGAAGAACGATTAGGGTCCTCAACCAAAGCCTTTGGTTCAATGCCTGTCCCCAAGATAGCGGCGAGGTGACAATGTTTTAGTTTTACAGAAATGGATGACATCCCACTTCAAACTCTCAAACTGGAGGGCTAGGAGCCTGCGTTCGTCGGACCTCTAACCATTGATAACCCTGGTAGGAGTAGCGCTTAAGGGGCCCGGGAGCCCCCACTCAGTGTATCTCAATGTGTATGGGAGGTATGCAAACGGTCGCACCACGCTAAAGTCCAGTCTCGTCGTAACGGATCAGTTGACATGACCGTATGTCCGAGGAAACTGGGCTGATCCCCGTAATTCAGCTATTAAGCTGCCTAGTTTCGGAAGCACTTTACGTTACCCGGGGATTTGTAATGATTGTCCGGAGATCCAATCACTAAGTCATGTTGGACAGCAAATGTATACCTGCATGCCCCTTGCGTTTGCTGCACGTAAACTCGTGTTTCGACCATGGATTCTGGCGCCCATGCAACAGGTTCACCCTACTCCAAATCGCTCGTCTGGAAATTCGTCGAGAGAGATGAGGCACAAACGGCCACGTTGCGCAGTCGAACTTCCGATAACGTCTCCATACTGAACCGCAGTCAGCTTACTTTTCAGTAGTTGCGGACGGTCATGTTCAAACGTAGGTGAGTTGGCAGTACCCCGATCGATTACTATCGGTGCCTTGCTATTTTACACAAAACAGCCACACTAATTGCAAGCGGCAGTGGATCGGTACCGAGTCCACTTTGTTAGAGCTGAGGTATCCCAATGAAAGTACGAATTTGACAAAACCCATTTATAGCCAGTGCTTTTTAGCCAGAAAACGAGCTTCCAACAAACAACTTTATTAAAAATGGCATTGCTTTCAATTAGGTCTTTCACATTAGATTTCGACACATCCGTCGCACACAGTGCTCTTACTATTCGGTATACCCAAACCCACTATTGGCATGATTCACCCGTTACCCAATTTCAGTATGTAATTCATTTTTAATCGAGGCTAATTATTTTGACAGATATGAAGTTAACCAGTTATATGTATCAGCGAAGATGTTCAAACCGTCCACTGTCGTTCTGCATGTGTCCAATTAGGACATAAGCAGCAGTCACTCAAACGGTCACTCGCGTTGACTGAATTTACGATAAGCATCGACTAGAGGTCTGTCTTTCTGGTAATGAGGATGAAAAAGTGGAGACTTTGGAATTGCTTGAAAAGTAAAATTTATCTGGGGATTATTTGTAGTAATTTACATGTCACGTTGGCTTGAAGCACACTTTGGCCATCCTTGAGGACGATCTTTAATCAAGTAGCAACCCATACGTATTACGTGTACTGCAGAACATATTTTCCATCTTATGCATGGGAGCATTTTTATACCTGTTTCCTTTCAGAGCATGCTACCTGTGATCTTCAGTTTCACTCTCCCGACATTTACTGCCTCCTCACCAACGGCGTTCCGTACTTCACCCTTTGTCAAACAACTACAAGATGTGTATGGCGTGGAAATATGCTGCCGAGCGCCTTGTCCGCACGATGCAAATTTAATGGACGTTAGCGTGAAAGGATTAGCAGGTAACGCAAAGAACACGAAGGCGGCTGCTCAGCTTCTGGTACACAAGTACTACCGAAGAGATGCGGTACGTTTGGCACGAAGTGCCACCTCTGTGTTCTTCCTAAATTAGTGCCGCTCTGTTGGACTCTTATTTAGGACACCGTTATTGTTTCGGAATGGTTATATAGTTTGGTTAAAATGATCAGTTGTGTTTTTTGTCTGAAAATTCGGTAGCCTACTCAGTGTAGCTTAGTTGGTAAGAGATTGGATCAGAAGCTGCAGAGTTCCTCTCGTTAAATGAAAGAAATCCCCCGGAACGTCTGATAAATCTCAGTTTAGTTCAGTTTGACAACCAGGATCCGTGTACCCCAGTGCCATGGATCCCGTTGTCTTGATTCCCCTCGCAAAATTAATGACATTACTGTTATTCTGAGAGCGGCAAAGAATAATCAAGTTAGTTAGAAAGTGTAGGTAGATACGTTAGAAAGCAAGAAGCGACTTCCAAAATATCAGCAACCTCGAGACCGCGCTAGTTCCGAAGAACTTTCCGACCACTGGCGTGGCTGACTCTGAGAAGCTGATGTAGGTAGATGCCACGGGCCACCCCTACCTTGGACTTTCGATGAGCTTCCTCAGATTCGTTTACCAAATTATTGACTGGCCCTCTCACAATAAATCCCTAGGTAGCCGTTTAACAGACATGCGGATAGTACCACCTATCCGATGCAGTCTGCTCTAGTTTACCAGTTATTCCAAAGCGCTATGGGGTCTGCTACCAAACACCGAAGCACAAACATTTGTATCCAAGCCAGACTTATGCAACACTTTGCGGGCATCAGGAGTCGGTCTGTTATAAATAAATAACCAACAAATCGATAAACACACATGTTCACAATACAACACACCGTGGTTCAGCTGTCCGATGGGGTGAAAAGGTCACGTTCGGAGGTCGAGGAGGACGGCGAGTCAAAGTAAAATTATGGCCAGGGTAAATGGAGCTTTTGAACTAACACCCTCTGCTTGCATAATTCTGGTTGCATCAGCAGGATCGAAATAGCCTCAGCCGTCATGAGTGGGCGTCTTCTAACTCCTTTTGGGTAGTGTTTGGGCACAGTGTATAAAACTTTAAAAGCCTCCGTCGTCACGACTTGGAGCCCGCTCTGGACTAAATGTTCCAAAACAACACTGTTGGCCCTTTTGACTGCATTTTTCCATAACGCTGCTGGGCAATGTTCTGTTGTCCGATTCGCCAAGTGTCTGGTCGTGTGTCCGAGGTATCTTGCATTACAGGTGCAAGTAAATTGATATAGGATAAAAGATTCGGACTGGACCGGTAGTCAATCCTTAAGCCGCTGGGTTATAAACGGGGCAGTTTCAGCAATATCGTGCGGACAGGCAGCTGGGAAAGACTTGGCCACTGCATTTTGGAGTCTTCTGTTCAGTAACGCAAAGAGAACATCTCCCTTAAAAGGAACAGTAAGATAAACTTCCTTTTTTGACACAGTCACGATAGTTTGTCCTTGCTCACGGATCACATTATCTTGTATTGTGCTAAGGATAAAGTCCTTTTCGGTTTCCAAAGTTCCGGGGCTACAGATTCTGTTGGCAAGACAATACAGGCAACGCGCTAAGTTTCGTTTGTACTTTAACGGTACAAATCTACGAAAATGTATGTACTGGCCTATCCTGGTCGGCTTTCGGTAGCCACTTCTTTGGAGTGTGCCATTCTCTCGTCTGCTTAGCAATATGTCCAGAAATGCTATCTATCCTTCGTTATCAATTTCGCTTGTAAAGTTTAAACTGGGTTGCGCACTATTGAACTGATCTAGTAAATGAGCAACGTCGACGTTTGAATCACAGACGATAAAGGTATCATCGATGTACCTCCATTAGGAATGAAGAGACGCGATAATTGGTCGGAGGGGTCCGCGTACAAGCTTGGCAAGGAAAATAGTAGCCAGCAACGGACCTAGCGGTGACCACACTACAACCCCATCTATCTGTCTATAATAGCAGCTCTCAACTAAAAATTGCCTGTTGAAAATACATTGTAAGATCAGTCTCTTCAAACTAAGTCCCGGGATACCGATATCTACATGATTGACAGTCTCGAGTAATGGAACATTTGTAAAAAGTGACTCGACATGAAACGGTAACGCCAATTTCCCGCCTACATTCAGTTGTTCCACCCGTGTAACAAAATCAAAAGAATCTTTTAAAGCATGAATACACAAGGCTTTACCTACCGGCTCTAACAATTCCACAATCCATTTTGCAACCGAGTGGGAGGCGGAGGCAGACATATCGATAACAGGGCGCAGAGGAAACTGTGGTTTGTGCATTTTCTGATATCACTTGGAAGCTTGTTCCAAATCTTTGAGTAGTGGGTTAGAAGGAAACGTTCTGTGATTCTAGTAGTAAATTTTGGAATCATGACCTTTACCTCTTTGCTACGGATTGGATAACTGCTGTTTAAAGATATTTGAACACCGTTATCAAGACCGCGAATTTGACAATTTTTGATCCTGTAAAGAAAACATAGGTTCAGTTTCATTTACTGAAGCCAAACTGGGTCAAATCCAAGTTGCTCACATCGCTCTCTGTATGTCAAGTTTGAGAAATATCCACATAGCATTTTCGTGAAGCATCTCTGAACCCTCTCAAGGGCATGCTGGTTAGGTTTTCGCAGATTAGACTGGACCACTGAACAGTATTTCATACACACCAATACATATGTTTTGTAAAGCGATATGCGAGATTCCGTGAGGTAAAAATGATGGCAGATGCAACCGATAGTCTTCGTGGTTTCCGAAACTTGAAAGTCACGATGTTCAGCAAAGTTAAACGTGACTGAATATCGCACGCCCAAGTCGCGAACTGCTCTGCATCGCGAGATATATGCGCATTATAGCAATAAACTGTCTGGCGGTACTTGGGATTTGTACGCAACTGAATACACTTGTCCATGGCAAATGACATCTGCCACAGTTGGCACCAGGAGTCAAGGGCAGATAGGTCATGCTGAGTGAGACGTACGGCTTCCTGGGTATTTGCACTTGGTTTTGAATAGAAAAATTTAATGTTATCAGCAAAGATAAATGTAGCACATCTCTTATTCTCTGGAATATATCGTTACAATATATTAAAAAAGAAGAGGACCAAGAACACTCCCTTGCATCACTTCATTGGTGATTGCTTTCGGTTTAGAGAAATGGTCGCCGATGCGCACCACCTGCTGTCTACCAATTAGATATGAAGACATCCAGGCAAAGATTGCTTCTCCAATACGGATGGCCCTCAGTTTGTTTAGTAACCTTCTGTGAGGCACTCTATCAAAGGCTTTTTGCATATCCAGGAACAGGATTACAACACTGTTTCCGTTGTCAATGGCAGTCGTTGCGTGGTTTAAAAAGTCAGTCTGGCATGTTGCGCAAGATCAACCTTGCATGAAGCCGTGTTGCGAATTGTTGATGAGGTTAGCTTTGTTCAAGAATGCAAACAGTTCATCTTTCACTACCCTTTCCATTAATTTAAATACGGTGGGTGTGGGATTGATGGGACGAAAGTTTTTAACCTCGTGGGCAGCGCCATTTTTATGTCGCGGGATAACAGCAGAAGTTTTGCATTGAGTAGGGTATACTCCGTTGTTTAAAAAAAGCGTAAAGCTGTTGAGCAAAAGCACAAGGAAGTCATTACCATTGTTTTTTTATTATACAAGGGGATCCCACCAGGGCCTGCGCACGTTGAGAAGCATAAGCGAGAGATTTGACCAGTGATTTTCGCTATAGTGAATCCCACTGGGCATGGACCTTCATTGTTGTGCGGCATGATAAGTTCTAGTGTGTCTGATGATTCACTGATCATTGATTCAGCACTGAAAGCTTCCCAGATATTACCTGGTGCGTCGTAACATGTTTCATCAGGCGTGGTGATAAAATCGAAATTGTTGCTGCAGCGCGAACTCCGGACACGGAATAGTTTGGCTAGCTCAGCTGTAATAGAAGTGGTTGTAGCAAACGTTGGAGCAAGGTCTCAGTAGAGTGGCTGGAAAGGAGAAAGCACAAAAATCGTCTGGTAACAGTAGATTGAAACTCGCTTAACCCTTCACAGAGTTTTATTTGGACATACGAGTCACGACCTAGGTATGTCCAGTTAACGACAGAACGAGACAGGTGCTTGAAGAGTAAAAATAGGGACTCTGTTTGTCTCCCGTGGTTGACTTCTGTGTGAACATAAAAGCCTTGGGTAAGGTATAACAGTATAGAAAAATATAACAGTGATTAGATGAGATGAAGACGAGTAGTCAGGTTGAGTGGATGCTTCAGCCACCGTGCTGCTATGGAAGATGGCTATGACCATGCAAAAAGCAGGTAACCTATTACAGTTACAAGATTGGATATGAATGGTAGCTTTGTTTTTACCCTCGGCTTCTATGCCGACCGATGAGCCGATGTTAATGTACAGCCGAAAGGTAGTACGGATATGGCATTATATGCCACTTAGTCCCTTCGGATAGACCTCTATCTCTGTGATATAAATCTGGATGATTTGAAAGATGTTTGTGAGTAACGTAGGTTTCGTAGAAAGTAGAAGTCACGATTAAACCACACGAAAATCTGCCTCGACTGGGAATCGAACCCCGGTCCCACGAATTTCCGGTCCGCTGCTCTACCACTGAGCTACCGAGGGCTGACGATTAGGTGCGCAATTTAATACTTGACTTCTGCTTGGTGCGCGACATATTGCCAGTCGAGGCAGATTTTCGTGTTGAGTTTGAGCGTGACCTCTACATTCTACGAAATCTTGATGAAATGCATAGCTTTCGGAACTGTAAGCAACTGGTGAATTTAAAGAAGCAACATGTGAAAACCTGCAGGTTTTAGTGATCAATAGAAACCGATTTCAAATCGATCCATATTAACTGAAGCAAAAATTTGTTCACGGATTGGTGAGCGATTTTGCAACTGACAGTATTAAATCGTTGTTACCGAGACCAGTAGCTTACAGGAGCAAGTATGCAGGTGTACGAATGTGCCCATGAATTACGTCGAACTACAGCTATGTCTAGCACCAGTCTACGCGGTCTTATGGTGTCAAACATCAGCAGGTTGCAACATTCAGAGTGGGTGAGTAGAACCAAGGATCTGTCATGTGAAGACGAAGTGAATACGTTCCATCGCCAGTGTGTAACTCAGGTTAGCATTGGTGAACACCAGACTGCAGTACTCTAATATTGGGTGTGTACTAGTATTGCATAGCATAAATATGGTATGCTAACTAGTCCACTAATCTTCCCATTGGCTGGTGTACGGACACTAGCGTCGAGCCGCAAAGTATGATAATCAGTAAAGCTTGGGAGCGCTTAATCTATTTACCTGAGTGACGATAGCTCAAGGTGAGTGGGAATCGTAAACTAATAGCAGTTTATAGAGACGATGGTAAAGGGGATACAATATTAGTCATATCGAGTTAACAATGGGTGTCGGTCGACCAAATGATTGACTGATCTCCGCGTAGGTAACCTGGAATAAGTTCCTCGGAGCAAGAACTATTGTCCGGCTGTTTGTCTGCTCGGTGCATTGACTCAACAAGTCGGTGCGGTGTTTGATGCATCTCGTCTGTTTGCGATTTTGATTCCTAGTTCGTGCCGATATACACCGTGATTGAGCTGGACACGACGGGACAAACTAACTTCGTTGGGCAGACAGATCCAGAGGCATTAGCACAGTCCGTAATGCGGGCCACCGGAGCGACCGTTCGCCTTACGAAATCTCGGTTGGTCAACCGTGGATGTCTTGTGCAATCGCCAGAATCCTTGGGGACGCTGAGCTCTTTCGTTACGCCCAACAGTGAAAGAACGCATACCACAAGCGTCGAGATTACCGGCCCCTCTGTGGACTCTACCCTGTTGGCGCGTCAGTATATAACGGTGAGTTCAGTTACTTAGGAGTCAGGTTCTAGCATATTATCCAACGCTTTTACGAGTTTAAGTCACCGAGTATCTACTCGAGTGTGGCGATTGTGTCAATACTCCATAAGAATCCATCATTGGAGACCCTTCCTGTTTCAAAGCACCCACCTGAAAAGCGCATATTTATCTAGTAATATGCCACCAAACCCCTTGTTTACTGGCTGTGGCAATTTGCGTACACGAGAGACTTAACCGTATGAGAAACACTCTATGTGATACTGATTGTTGAACAAGTGCTTGAAACGATATTGTTTATATAGTTACGGCATAGATCTGGATATGGTAATTGTGAAATTGTCCAATCGAATCCGCAATAAGACAAAGCGGTCTTCCATTTTGCAGTAGAATCCAGTCCTTTAGTGACAAACGGCTTACTCGATAAAGTATTCTCAGCAAAACTGGTCTTACAACAAGCCTGTAGAAATCTCGATGGCTACTGCGTGTTTGTTTCCAGATCTAACAACACATGCATGAATAATATTCTTTCCTCGTTTCAGTCAATCAAGTTCTCTTCGGCGCAGCCAAATATCAGCGTAGAGACGAAGGTGCCTAAACCTCCAATCACGTGCACGGTTTGTTTGCAGCATGCTAAGCGTTTGCCTCGTCACGTAAACCCGTCTCGCCTCGCTAACTGCATACTCCACCCCACACCCTGCTTTATCGGTTATTGCTAACCTGTAAGTGCATTTTGTTAGACAAATTCAATCTCCTGTTCTCCTGAATGGCGATCTGAGAATCCGTCACACACCATTGCGGCCCCAGTTGATCATGACGTAATGGCGGCTGAGTCACAGTGGCAGTCCTGCACCCAGTCTCCTGAGTGTCACATCAAGTGTCTCTTTTCCTTACGCCTTCCCATTGTGGTTCTCTCGCCTTCATCCCTCGTTTTCTCACAATCATTGTTACTCGGGTTTGCTCTGATCATATCGAGCATGGCAGTGGGATCCACCGTATTTTGAAGCCCAGGCGGTAATGTGTGCTTGGACTACAGTTATTTGGCTTGTCTATGCACTAACTGGCTTACTTAACCACCCGCACTCTCACACGGAGACCTCATCCTGCTGCTTCGACAGCTGCACTACCCTTGTTGCAGCCCTTTGGTACTTCGTTATCTGCAGGCGCCGCCAGCAATCAGTTTAATCTAGTGAAAGTTTGAAACCATCGGGTGGTCGATTGCTTGCTCTGGTCAGGCTGTGCTTCGGCCTCGTCAATCCCTATGGCCTGGTCGAACTGTTGGATCCATGGTGTCGACAAATGAATTCGAGCCTTATGGATGATTCTGGCAGGTTTATTATCACGGTGGATGGCTGATGACATATTTGCCCCCACTTGACAACTTGCGTTCCTGTGTGGGCCACACAGCGCATCTTTCCTGGTTCTCATGAGAGCTCATACTTGATGCTATATATTACTTGTTTGCTTATATAAATAACTGAATAAAGGAATTCATACATCTTCCGGTAAGCGGCAAGCGTTTGCAACATAACGAGCCAGTATTTGTTCACAGATTTTGTAGTATAGTTCTTGCTTTCATTGTTACAGCACATGGCTGGTTGAAAGAGATGCACATTACGAATTCACTGCAGATTCAAGTGGATTAGGATTTTGCTGTGCTTGTTTCGTTCCAGCCTATCTGTTAGTGAAGTTGCTCAGATACTCGGGCTCGGATGAAATCTAGTTATCTAACTATCGCATACATGCCTTCCGCTTTTTTGGGTTTGTTGCGTATTGAGGCAAGTACCGAGATATCAAGTTCTTTAGCTCACCATGGTGGATTCCTTGGCAAGTGCGTTCTGAAGGTGTCTGATCAACCGATCGTCATCCATATCCATTGCGACTGGGATCAATTGAGCTGATGGCTGATGAGCGAGTCTATCTGCTTCCATCCATGTAGAACCCAGAGCCAATGATCCGGCGCTGTTGGAGGGGAAACAGGGAGTAAGATGATGAACGGGAGGTATTTGGGGGAACTGGTGAGGTACAATAGAACAATGGTGTATTACGGGTAAAAAGGCATTACTTAACGAGTCCCGTGGGATAGAAATTATTGCGAAAAGTAAATTGCATGATAAAGTGAAAAGCGTTTTGGTAGACTCACCATAGACTTATGTAGAATAGCGAGGATGTTTGCGCATTAGAAGGATAAACCCGTAAATCCATTGGTTAGGAGTTTGGCAAGACACCTTTTAATTGCGTTTTGTAGCCCCTGGCTAGCAATTCATAAAATGAAATGCAAATGCGACAACGCGTGGTCAACCGCTTTTATAATTATAGTCAAATTGGGAACAGAGAGGACTTATTTAGGAAGAACATTCCAAGGCTGGCACAGCGGAGGGAAAAGAAATTTCTACGGGATTCAAGTCGGCTATATTGTATTTACACTTTCAAAGGCTGACCTCTTAGGTAGATGTTGTGGTTCAATTGCAGAAGCGGACGGAAAATGTGGTCTGAGTTCTTCAGAATCTGGTAAATCATTATGACATCCCCGCAAAAGCAGATAACGACTGCTGTACATTCTTAGAGATTTCAGTCTAAGTTGATAGGGCAGATGAAAGAGGCCCCTGACGTTCTTGGTTGCCCTTCGTTGTGGAGTCTCGAGAGCGGCAAGATCCTGTTCCTGCCACGGCTGCTACGCCTGAATAGCATATTCCACATGCGGTCGCACGTAGGCGTTAAGCATTTGGGGAAAGATTGAGGGTTAAAACCGATCGAAGGATCTGCGAAGAAGGCCGAAGTGTTGATTGCCAGTTCGCGTCGCCTTCTCTGCTTGTTTTGAACACCCGAGATCTTCCTGTACCAATACACCCAGGTCACGCTTTTGAAAGGCCTTCTCCAAGGAGTGGTCTCCAAGCTTGTAAGCGCTCACCGGCTGGTGACGCAGACGGATCACTTTGCACTTAGCTATGTTCAACTGAATCAGGTTCCTGTTTGACCATCCATATATGCAATCTAGGTCATGTTGGAGTATATCGTGATCTCCATTGTTACTAATCGCCCGCCATATCTTGACCTCATCTACGAAAAGCAGGAAATTTGAGGAGATAACTCTTGCCAGATCGTTGATAAACACTAGGAATAAGCGCAGTCCCAGCATTGAGCCTTGTGGAACACCACATTCTACCTCACTCGGGTTAGAGTAATCTCATAACGCGTAGTCTCAGCTTCCGTTGGTGAAGAAAGTTGCCAATGCAATCAAGTACAGGATTTCCGATTCCACAGCTCTGTAGCCGGTGAAGTGGGATGCGGTGACCCAGGCGGTCGAAAGCTTTGGAGAAGTCCAGATAGGCCACTTTCGTCCAACTACCTCGTGCAATCACTAGGTTGGTGGTGCATGACCGGTGTTGACGGAAGCCATGCTACTCCGGTGCCAAGATGTCGCATTTTTCCTGGCAGTTCATTAGAGCCTCAGTGATGACCACTTCCATCATCTTCGCGAACACAGGGAGGAGAGTCACTGGGTGATAGTTTGCAGAATCTAGACGGCTACCGCCTATAAAAATTGGGGTGACAATGCCACGCTTCCGCCTGGTGGGGACTAGTGCTTCATCAAACACCTTTGGAAGAACTGTGACAGTGGTTCAGCTAGCTTGTTGGTCGCAGCCTTCACTGCCTTCGGGCGGATGTTGTCGGCACCCGGAGAGCCATGATTGCGCAGTGAGAGTAACCTCCTTAACATAATTGATGGGTTGAAACTTGCATGTGGAAACAATGGACTCGGTAATGTGCATGACATTATGGGACAGGTAGGGGCTGCGAGTTCGAAAATTGTGGCGTATTGTAGCCGTGGGGCATTAGCTGCTTCTTCGGCACTTTGTATTTTACCGCCTGTCGTGAAAAGTGGAGAGATTCCATGTTTCACTTTACGAAGACTTTTGATATGCCTAAACAGCAGTTTGTTGTTTGCCAAGTGATTTTGGCTAGGCTTTGTTGATAAGTTACTTTGTCCTCACGGACAAGTGCAGTGCAATGGTTGCGAAGGGGCAGGGAATTGCTCCCAGTCTCTGAGTCTTGGTTAATCTTGTAGGCACGCCATGCTGCATCGTTTATCGCCAGGCCTTTTCGAGTCCTGCTCCTTAGAACTGAAGGCATTTTTGCGGGACAAAGGGGCTTGGTCTCTGATGCCCCGTTGACCATGTCCCTGAATCTATCAACGAACTCCGTCCAAACGTTGTCAAGCGGACTGTCTTTTGAGAATCGCCAAGCAGCTGCATTGACGAGATTTTCGATAGGTGGTAGCTTGTGATTGTTATTTGATCATGCCTTGTTATTTGGTCAGGCCTTGTTGGTGTGTCTCGTTCGACACCAAGAATATAAATTTATTTATTATGTATGTATGAGTTAGTTTCGAGCATTCAGATGGATAATCTGCATAACACACATAGTTGAACGTTATTACTACATTGTCACTGAGACCTAACTTGTCAACCATGAACTCTTCATTCGTGAGCACAAGGTTCAATATGGACGGTTTGTTTGCTGTCCTGAATCTAGTGGGCGTGGTGACATGATGGTACAAGGGCATATTAGCGACCAGTTCGAGCAAGTCTGCTTTAAACTGCTCACTGGGTGATGCCAAAACCTCCAGATTGTGTAGATTGAATTCGCCGGAGATGAGAATGTGGCTGTACCTAGTGCGTGTTACTCTGTTCAGGCCACGGATCAAGCGGGAATCCATTTCCGGAGTGGACGTTAGGAAGCGGTAAACGACAGCTACGAGACATGTGTCTTTGTGTCTTAGTTGGAGACAGCACCAGAGTGAGTCGGTAAGATGTGTGTTTTCAGATCAACAACTACTGCACATTGCAGATCGTTAGGGTAGTAGAGTAGGACCCCACCTCCTCTGCTTGGGCGGTCGTTCCGGATGACTGACATTCCGGCTATCTCAACCTCAGCATCAGTCACCACTTGGTGCAATCAAGTTTCGGCAATAGAAATTAGGTCCCAAACATTCGCATTCGAACTCGTCTAGTAGCTGGTTGTACTTCTGAAATAATAAGAGCACGCTTTTTATCAGTGGGATAGATGTGCATTCCGCGCAGAACATAGAGTTTCTAGATCACTGAATGCGTGTTTTAAGCCGATTCCGTAAAGCTGAATGTGTTAGCATCCAATTTGAGTAGCTCGGTAAGTGGCTGGACTAAGTCTGAACATTTAAAGCAGTTAGTTCCCTTCAACAATTTGAAAAGCACGGAAAGAAGACGAAGGCTGATAGATGCATGCATTTCGCATTGTCTCCTCAGTACCATTAACAATAACCGATAAGCATAGATATAGCTAACAGCGGGTGCAACCAGACAAGCTTAAGGTGCAAAACGAATGACGGAAGTTCACACCTACGTCCAAGGCAGCTTTAGGCTGACAAATAATTGTTTCTGAACACACAAGGCTGGCTTAATTCTGCTTATTGCGAAATGAATCTACTGTAGAACTTAAACATGCCAACAGACTGGTGTAACATTTTAAGGGAATAAGTTCTGTGGTACTCGGTGATGGCTGTCACTCCTCTGTCAGGTAGGGATGAAATTCCGGCGGAGGAAAGACGGTGGCCAAGGACGTCTACAATATCAACTCCAAATTGACTCGTGGTGGCGTTACTAACTACTGCATAATGCGCAAATGAAGCAAAAAGTTTTCACAGATGGCGTAAATGATCGTCCTGGTTCTGACTTGCAACCATAACATCGTCAGTGTAGACGAAAACGAAATCTGGCTCGCGAATGTCTTGGTCCATAAAACCGTGAAACGGCTGAGCTGCAATGAGAAGACCAAATGACATTTGCAAGAACTCAAATAAGCCGAAGGGAGTGGTGGCGGCAGTCTTAGGAACATCTTGAGCATGGACGGGAATGTGGTGGTATGCGCGCACTAAATCTAGCTTGCTGAACACTTTCGTTATGTCCAGCGAGGATGAGAAAACCTGGCGATGCGGAATGGGATATCTGTCTAGAACGGTGCTAGTGTTCAGTCCCGGATAATCCCCACAAAGTCTCCAATCTCCATATTTGTTCCTCGGGACCATAGATAGGGACGATGCCCACATACTACTGGATGGATGTATTATGCCCAGTTGTAACATATGGTCGAATTCGACCTTCCTTATGAAAATTACATCAGGCGCTAATCGCCGTGCTCTATGGAAAACTGGACTACCTGCTCTCGTTATTCTGTGAACGAGCTCGTGTTTGTTATCACCAGGTTGGTATCCGGGCTTCGTTATGTTGGTAAATTCACGTGCCAGATCCAAATACATTGGAAAGGTCTGAGGTGGGACAGGCTGTGGGCTCACATAGATATTGGAACTTTTGAAGTCAGCCTCTGATAGTTGCGTTAGGCTATCCATGAGCTGACAGCTTTTGGGGTCTATGATAATGCCATGACGTTGAAAGTAATCGAAGCTTAGGATTGCAGTTGACAGTTTAATCACAATGAAAATCCAAGGAAAATGTCTATGGAAACCAAGGTTCAGCGTGATAGAACGTTCTCCATAGGATGGGATTGGCGTGCCATTTACTGTCTGCAGACTGTTTACCGAACAGTGCTTCAAGTCCTCCGGAGGTGGGGAATTACGCTGAGTTGGGCACCAGTGTCTACAAGGAATCGTATGTCAGATCTTTCTTCCCGCAAGTAAAAATGGCGACCTAGCTCACATATGCCAGCTTGCGTCCTTGCCATTATGATCTGGCCTGATCGTTTCACGAGTTGGGAAATCGACACTGCTTTAAGCATATTGGAGCCCTGTTACGGGACCTCCAGTGGTATCAGTAAATGCCAAGGACACGACTAACCCACCGAGTACGCCGTTGATTAGATCTAGTTGCTGCATCCTCTGGCGATGGCAAGGGAAGCCAGTTGTTCTTGCTGGGAGCGCACGGCTTTTGCTAGTGGGTCGTCAGATGCACGCGAAGATAAAGTTGAGATCGTTGGCGATTGTGTCTCCATTATCTTATCAGCCATGAGGTCTGTCTTACGGCTCGCTATACTGATGAGCGTTAGCCAATATCTGTAGTACGTGTTTATGGAGCCGTTGTATAAATAGGTGCTTTAAAATGGAATTTTCTGGAGGTTTATCATTTATCAGAGCTTGCATAGCTCGCAACTGTCGCGTAGGGGTGCGATCGCCTAATTACTATTCATTAAGTAAACGTTGCACTCACTAAGGCTAAGTTCGCGAACCAGCAAGTCCCTTAGTTGTTGGTACGTAAAGTTGATTTCAGAATATCCTGTGCCAAGAACGATAATTATGGCGCGAGTCGGGAAACTACATGATGGAACCATAGGGATCCTTATGTACGCGATTGTTTTCTAAAAATGGCTCTGCCTGAAGAAACAAAGCTGGAGATATTGTATCCAAAACGGTGGTGGACAACTAGTTGAAACGATGATACTTTGCCCTGGTCGTTGGTCAGTCATATTCACATACATGAAATGGTAAAAATCACGAAAGTGGATACGACTTATCGGGTGATATGGGCTGGGTGCGAAACAGCGAGCTCACGTCGGGTTCATCACCTTATAGTAGCAATTCTTAAGTGCGAATTTACCAATTGATGTCCCGTCGTTCTCGGATGCGCAAAGGGAAGTGAAAACATGTATTCCCATTGTTGTATTTCAATGCCTCGACATGTATTATGCACGGAAGAACAGAGGAAAGCCTGGGAAGTTACGCTGCTGAGGTTGGTGCACGTTAGTTCTCAGTTATTCACTTGGTCTCCATGGTGTATTGTCTGGACTTTTGAAAGATGGTGGATGCAGCTGGTGAAAATGTCAGCTGGCTAAGAGTAATGTCCCAACAAAGCTTGTGAAGCAAAAATGTAAAAAGGTGTCCTACGGCTTCTCATTTCCATCGGTCTAACAATTAAAATTTCGCTAAGTGAGAGTCTCAAAGTTCACGGCTACATCCCTTAGATACGGTCAATCATACTAGTCCCAAGACGTTTTTATCTGTTTAGCGACATTGCTACTCCTCACAACTTAACCCTTTCTCACCGTTCCCACTTTCAGAGTCTGCTACCGGTCGCGCTGGTTTTCGACTTGCCCAGAGACGACTGCGAGTTGCTGCGGAGTTTCGACTTCAAACGTCTGGAGCAGCTGCACAATGTGTCCGTCGACATTCGTCCGAAAGCCACTCATTCGGTCAAAGTAAGTGATGTGAATGGTCTCTACGCGACTCGATCTCAACACCTCACCCGCATATGAATTTGTGCTATCACAGAGACAATTACTTGTGGTTCGCAGTTTTGAGGCATTACCTCCTCAGGTGTACCGTATCTTGGCTTCGTGTGACCGCGTAGTGACTCACTCAACCACGCTCTAGTGAACCTCATATTGTCCCAGGATTCTGTTAAGGCAGTGGGACGTATATGTATATATTCCTACATCAGGTTTTACTACGCCGGCTACATAGATCATGCACCTAGTGTATCATTTATTAAGGAAGACAGTTGCTGTTATTATTACTGTTACTATAATTATTATCATCACTATGCTTAACCTTTTCCGGTAATGCTAACGCCGATATAAAAACATTGCGAGGAGTGTCCCATTAAACACCCACAGCCGGGCCACAGACTGGCCTTTCTTCAGTTTGACATCTCATCAAATACTAGTCTACGAAAGCACGGTGGATTGCTGTGCACTCATCTATGCTCATAAGTCCACCCAGATGTCCTAGTAGTTCGGGTGCGTAAAAACAGCTCCACCATACATGCCTGCAATCACATGTGTAGTGGTTCCACGGCGTCGGTGGTCCTAGTTGCTTGAAGCTGCATGCTTGCGCTAGAGAGTGCTATCATATTTCTTTCTTGCCTCACGAATAACGCGAACTCGTACCGTTCCGTATAACTCCCGAAAATGGGTTGGGAGGACACACACACTTGGGTGGACTAAGTACATTGCCGCAACAACACTGCACATTATACAAATAAGCGAGGGGATCCGGACCTGAATTGTCCGGACTGTAGGACATGTTAGTTTCGATATTAAATTATTCCGCACACAGGATTGAATTTATGTATTACATTGTGGTTGAAGTCGTACCTCTTCCATCTTCAGTTGTGACACAACCGTGCCATCTAGTTCCAATCCCCGGTCGTTCAATTGCTCCGGGTAACATATATACCTAGCGCTAACATCATCCCCCCAAAGTAGGTTGCTTACAGGAATGCGGTCGCTTGTTTAGCTGTGGTGCCAGCACTTAGTAACGCGTTCAGTTAATCTTTGACAAAACTGTGTACTTAACATCTGTAACTTCGGGCTTCGCTTCGTGTCCGAGATTGCTTTTTTCGTGTAAAGCAGACCGGTCGAGGTCATTCCAGGCTGGCCAAGGTCACTGTCAATTGGAGACAAAATGGAAGCTTCGACACTTTCTACAACTTGAATGTTTTCTACGTGCAATCTTAACGGATTTTGGATTATCCTATAGCATTCAATTCCTTTTTGTGTGTTCTTTCCCTCACCGAAAAATCGGTTGGTCATCCATCAGTTTTTGTAAAAACTGTGCAACTTTTTCGATCATCCTGTGATCCGCCTTGTAGTGTGCTTTATCCTATACATTTCATCACACTTCTCCCAACTTCCACTCATCCGACACGGAATTACCAGCTCTATGCAGTGGATAGCAAAGCGTAAGGAAGTATTCCATCGCTTTATCACCTAAATCGTCTTACCGGTTTTGGAGATTTCTCAGCTAGCCATCCGCATCGGCTGACCAATTTTATCGGTTGAGGGCGATTGATCTACCCCGCAATCGTATCAAACGTGCCCTGTCGCGAACAGCGCCCCGGAGCAAAACACACCGGCAGCCACCTGATAGTGTGGTGTTTGGACCGGCGTGTGAACCGAGACCAGCGTGCGTCCGATTCACGTCGGGGCAGGTAGGCTTTATCGCGTTTCACTCCACAGGGCAGTGTGTGACGAAGAAACGAAGTTGACACATCCACCCGTTTGACTAGGGTGCGCAACCGGCCAGTGGGAAAAGTACTCAACGTCCACTAGGCTATTGTGTAAGGTAGCAACACTGTGCCAAGTATAGCTGAAGGCAAGTAGATGCGAATCCAAAAGTGGGCTCCAATCGAAGGGTAAATGTGGGCCCGCTGAATGTGACCGATTAGTCAAATTCCGTTTACCTTGCTCATAATGTTTAAGGCGATACCATCCGAAATGAGCAACTTTCTCCCTACGACATATGAGAGCTTGCAACAGCTCCCATGACGACATCTGGTTTTGTACTAAGTGTTCGAGCATCCCACTAGTCAAATGTATACTTCCCCTAGTCCAAAAGTACGAGCGGTTAACAGATGTTGAACAACGAGCGAACGTTAGTATTATATCACGGGAAGCGAGTATGAACCATGATAACACAGTGAAGTCAAAGAGAAGCATTGGTGCAAAAGTTACTTCCCTCGAACCACGATCAACAGGAGCCCCTTTGCCGTTATCTGCTTCAATGTTTGAAGAACGCCAGGCGAAAACAGACCGTAGCTCTGATGGACAAGCGGTACTCAGGACCCAGAAAATCAGGCACCACCCGAAACGCGTGCTCGACCAAATTCAGCCGGCCTTGACAACTTGTATCATTACTAATGCTAAGACAGATTTGTGTATGATTCGCTTTGGTTCATCGCAATTAGATCCCAAGCCACATAGGTAAGCTAACAATCCGGAAAAGCACCAGACACGCGTTTCGATCTATGGGGGCACGTCAGTGATGCGCATCCATCGGTCCCTTACAAGGGATCGAAGTCATGACCGCTAGAGGCTAACGCCAACTAGCCAGCAACTTATGCCACTGAGCCATGGGGGACGACAGCCGACCATTACGAATTGAAACCTAACTGCGATATAGCCCGACCCATCCTCCACTGCCGTGCAGGTGATTGCCCGTGCAGAGGACAATGGTTGGCCGTCATGGTCAGGTCTTCCCTTGCCAACGCCGTGAATGCGCACAGCAATTTTGAATACTGGTATGGCTTAGATGTTGATTACTAATGACTAGACGGATTTGGGTATGATTCGATTTGGTTCATCGCAATTAGCTTCCAAGCCGCGTGGGTAAGCAACCAATCCGGAAAAACACCAGCCGCGCGTTTCGCCCTATTGGGGCTCGTCAACGGTGAGCATCCATCGGTCCCCTACAAGGGATCGGTGAACCAAATCGAACTTGTATCATTAACAAGGATAAGACAGCCGAACCCGAGTCTACTGCATCTGCAACCCAAGGGTCGCTGGTCGAGTTCAGCTCGTTCTAGACTCCACTCACATATGCAGAGAGTGCTACAAATGTCCCTTGGAATGCTACCTTTAGTGTCTCCTCTGTTGCAAACATCGCTAAGGCCACTGGAGCAACAAACAGTAAACCATCATCACTTGGCATAAAACTAGGTGCATCCATCATCCAACCTTGCCGTTCAACAAAAGGGGCTCCAATAATAACTCCCTGGCTGTGGTGTGCATCAATGTCCCCGAATCTACCAACATCATATTGCGGAGTAAGCTAGCTGACGACCAACACCAGTGGAACTCACTGTGCATTTAAATGAACGTCATAGCCAAACCCACATTCCTACTAAGCGTCACTCGTCATCCGAACTCTGTAAACCTTGGTGAACACAGAATTATTAGAATAACACTGGAATCGGTCTTTGATGCAGAAAACTTTTTACTCTCTGCAAGTGCGCTACAAAACGATCCTTATGATGTGCGCATCTACCCTGAGGTCTCTTGGAGCACACGACAATCGAAAAGCGACATCACAGATCGACATAGTTAGCTGGATTATCCAAGCACCCTCCTTATTTAAGGCGCGTCAGAAAATGCTTCCTTCAATTATCATGAGGACGGTAATCACGATTCGGAACAATGGGGGTTCATTCTTGAAACACACTCCTTGGTTAAGGTTGTGACGCGATTGCTCAAAAGGCTACCTCTCTCACCAAATTATAGAGGAAGCGGACCGAGAATCCTAAATTCCTTGGTTCAGTCAGAGCAGACAGCAACGGAAGTGTTGGAACGTTGGCGGCGTTATAGGAAGAGCCTTACCTCTGATCTTGGGTTAAAAGCTGCTGAATCTTTGCGATGACCAAACAAGAGTCTACCTGGCAGAGCAAACCTACTTGCAATTAGGTAGGAACGTCGCGTTGCTGCTCGGCCACGTGATTCTGCAGAATGTCCGGACGAGGAATGGGACGTCTTGGCCAAATCATTTTGCGAACGACGTGTCATCATCAACGCATCAAAAAACGAGTAACACGCAACTTCCCATCGGTCGGCGTTCCACCACACTTGACTCCTTTGTCTCACTGTGGGCTCCTAGACCGAGAAATTATCCTGCTTTGATACCAATGCTCAAGGCCTTTGCAATAAGCTGACCGAACTGTGGGGTCGCCAAATTTCGAAGCCATGCGACATCATCTGTGTCACGGATACATGGTTGCACACTGGGATAACAGACACTGAAGTCTCGCTGCCGGGTATGTCACTCATATGAAACGACAGGCTTATGAAAGGAGGAGGGGTAATTCTGTATTACCGCGGCAACCTACATTGCGAGGCCGTTGAGGACTCAGACTCAAAGTTCGCTGATTCTCTTTGGTTCTACCTTCAATAACAAGGTATAGACACCTGCAGTACAGCTTTGGTTTACCGCCTCCCAAACTCTACACCGGAAAGGGGACTGCCAACTTGCGACAGTTTGGAGACGCAGCCTAAAGCGAAAGAACACCTACATCCTAATCATGGGTGGTTTCAATGTACACTGTTTAGAAACTTCTGCTACAACCGACAGCCATCCAAAACAGATCTGCAAGAGCTTATAACCAGTGTTCCACTTTACAATCACTTCCTTAAGCCCACTCATTTCAGAACAGTTAGTAGACCTTATTTGTTGGAACCTGTTTTAACCAACGAGGAACATAGGAATTATGTATTGATCGTATGATGCCCTTTGGGTCGCAGTGATCACGCACTCATCAGTTTCGTCTTTATCTTTTATGCGGAATATCGCAAGCAAAGCCATGCTATGATGTGTACCATTACGCGCTACGACCGTTTAGCCCAACTCGTCAGTGCCACAACTGTTCGTTGCTCTCTGAAGACCATCGGGAAGTCGCTTGGCTTGAATTCGTAAGCAAAGTCAAACAACT